CCTGCCGCAGTCTTTCCTGCGTATGACCACCCCAGGAGCCATGGTTGCCTCCTGTTGCTTCAACTCAAAAACTGTTGTTCATAAAGTGCCTTCTAGTACCTGATTTCATCTATCAGCTTTTCTACCAATGTCCAGGTCCAACATGCATGGTTTCACCATCAGTATCCCATTTTCCTTGCTCAGCTTTTGCTATTTCCATGGGGAGTGAGAAGCAACCTGCTCCCATGTCTTAACTCAGGCAGCAAACCCTGCACACCCTCCTCACCATGCCATCAAGTCACACCCTCTTTTCAAGTCAACAAACAGAGGGCCCGCAAGGGACTGGGTACTGAAGACTCATGTGCTCCCAGAGCTACACTTTGCCTTTTTGGACAGCTGTTAGAAGACTCTTAGGTTGAACCTGAGGAAATCGGTTCCCTGTAACTTCCTTCCTATTTCCAATCCTTGGACTTCATGGAAAAGAACGAGTCCCTCTCTCACCCATCAGTTTGTCGTCTGGCCACCTTCTTCCATTGTAAGCCTCCCTTCCAGATGACGCACCCAAGGATTACCACCCTGGGTCCACCGTTTTGAACAAGATACTTAACATGGGGACAATGTTCCGATGTCCTAGATAGTCTCCGGCTAACTTCAGTGTCTCCCCAGCAGTGCATGAAGCACCACTGCAATCCCAGGCGCAGGTGTCAGCTCCCACCAGCTCCACTGTATGGGGTGACAGACTCGTCAGGTGATATGACACCTGATATTTGGGGTTATGAGAAGGGAGGTGGCCACAGCTCCAAAATGCTCCCCCTTTACCAAATACTGGACAGCTGATAAGCACCCCCCATCCTGGCCCAGGCAAAGGGGGAGAAGTGTGGAGCATGAAGCTGGGGGGCCAGCTGCATGGTTTTGAACCTTGCCCAGATCCACAAGGACAATTAATACCCTGGAAACAGTCTTTTTCAGCTAAGGGAACTCCTTAAATGTAAACAGGGATGGGCCGGCTTAGTGGCGCGTTGGTTAAGAGCTGGCTTGGGACGCCAGATCTGAGCAGCAGAGCCCCGGTTCAGATCTCACATGAGGGCCAGTGACGCTATGCCCTCTACAGCTCAACCTGGAGCTGGGCTGCCGTTGAGTCCCTGGTGATGGCGTAGGCTGCAGTGAAGCTGCAGTGCGCTGCCATAAGCTACCGTGAGTGGCTGGCAGCCAGTGTGAGCTGCCAAGAGCCGCCTTGAGCGGCTGTCCAGTGGCCGGTGACCTATCTGCCTCACCTGGGAAGAGCACAATGATAATACCAACATGGGCCAGTGAAGTGTCGTCCTCCACAACTAGACTGACAAACAAAAGGACAGCACCTTGTCTGTTCCCCTTCCCCAATTCCCCAAGAAAATCTTTTTTAAAAAAAATGTAAATAAGGGGCACCAAGCCCTGCCTCCCACACCCTGGAGACAAAGGACTCCCTCTTCCTGGCATGGCCATTAGGAGCTCTGATCTGCTCCGCCGCCCACTCCTCTTCTTCCTGCACATACTAAAGAGAACAGTGGATGCCAGGAGGAGCCACTGGGTTTCAGAAGTGGTTGGAGAAGGGAAACTTAACATTTGAATTCTGGACCACCCCACCCATGGATCTCAGAGTACCCCCTCGGATTACTCCCCACCTTTGATACAGTTCATCATAGCAGCTGTGTTTGTTTCCAGAACCCTCCCCCCAAACTCCACCCCAGGGCGGGACCTGTCCACTCCTCACCCTATATGGCAGGGTTCCAGCAGTCTCAGGGGGAAGACCTGCTGAGATGTAGACCCCGTATCTAGTAGGGTTCTGGACGTTGCTGTATTGGGCACCAGGTGAGGTCCGAACGCCCAAGTATCCCCTATGAGTTGGGCAAACTGAGAGAGAGAATGGAGGCTGGAAGAAAAGGAGAGGTAGCGCCTGGGCAGAAAACCAGGGAAAAAGTGGGTCCCAGGCTGGGTCATCCCTTATCCTCCTCTATGTTTGGCCTATGCTCCGCCCTGCACGGCTCCCAGTGTGAGAAGCTGGACTCGGCTTTCCGCTGCTTGTTTGGGCTGAGGGTTTGCTCCCCCCGCCCCA